AAAAAAAAAAAAAAAAAAACAAAGAATTTGAGGCGTAAAAGCAAAAAACAGAGGGAGACCTGTTTAAGCCTGTTGCTATAGAGTTCTCCGGCCAAAACTTTGTCGCCGAACAACGAAACGGCTTCCTTCACTGAACGAAATGGCTTTCTGGTATCAATCTCTGCCCTTTTGAGTTTGACACCTCCTGTTTCCATGTTGAATGGAACAAACCAAAAAAGAAAGTAAACTTGGGGTTCCTCCGGAAATTTGCGACAAAAACAGAGGACCAACTTTTAATGTTCTTCCCAACTTCCAAACAGAGAGAGAAAGAAGAGTGAATTGGGGAATTGAAGGAAGAAAAGAGGCAACGAAGAAATATTAGGATATGGCAAAGTAAGGAAAGCTTCGTTTCTTGGCTTCCAAGTTACTTGAATTCTGTTCATTTTTTGAGGTAACCGAGAGTGAGAGATGAACAGTTGAGTATGAATACTCCAAGATTATGTGCTTGTAGTTGAAGGCAGAGCTCCTTTTTAACTTAGTAAGCTACTAGGCGTTACCTTAATCAGCATATACTTAGCACACCCATTAAGCTTGTAATCTATTCCTTTTTTTGTCTTCCTGCCACACATATCGGTTGGAGATCTTACTCGGGTGTGAAAAATCTTTCATTAATAGACAAGTGTTTAAAATTATGAGACCGACAATAATAAGTAAAGGTCAAAAGAGTTAGTGGTGGATTTGTGATGCTATAAATGGTATTAGAGCTAAACATGGGGCGATGTGTTAGCGAGGACGCTCGCCTCCATGGAGGTGGACTATGAGATCCCATATTAGTCGGAGAGGGGTTAGTGGTGGGCTTGAGATGTTACAAATGGTAGACACCGAGTCGTGTGCCAACGAGCGTGTTGGCCCCTAAGGGGAGTTGGACTGTGAGATCCCACGTTAGTTAGTCGTGGGGTTGGGATGTTACAAATGATATCAGAGTCAAACCCACAATAGGGGTGGACGGTGAGATCTCACATCGGTTGGAGAGGAGTTAGTCATGAACTTGGGATGTTACAAATGATATCAGAGACACACCCGCGAGGACGCTGGCATCAAGAGAGGTGGACTGTGAGATCCCACATCGGTGGGAGAGGGATTAGTCGTGGGCTTGAAATGTTACAAATGGTATTAGAGACAAGACATCAGACGGTATGACAACAAGGATGCCAGCCTTCAAGCTATGAGATCTGACGTTAAGGTTGTCTGAGTTCGAATTGACCAAACCAAGAACAAACCACTTCGTCTTCTCCGTCCCTCTTCTAATTTCTCTCCATCTGCCCAAAAATCTTGTGTTGACCAAACCCTTTTTTAGGAATTGGGATCCTTCATCAAAGTTATCATCTTTTTTCATTAAAGTTAACTGTTTCAACTACCCCACCTCAAAGCACCTTCTCCCCGTTCATTGTTGCAACTGTATCGACTCCTTCCCTTCCCTCTCTCCCTGCTTTCTACCGCTTCTTACAATGTCGCTTCCTGCCCTTGGATCTTTCTCTCCGCTAACATCTCTGGCGTTCAGGGGCCGCCCTCGCTTCGTCATGTCCGGCCGATCCAAAGCCCTCTCTGTTGCGCCAATTTTGACCAAGTTTCAGAAGGATTGCGACACCCCTTTGCCGGTATTGCGCTACGTGGCCGATGCAATGGCCGACGATATGCGGGCTGGGCTTGCTATCGACGGCGGCAGCGATCTCAAAATGATTCTCAGCCATGTCGACACTCTGCCAACTGGGTATGTTTGAAAGTTCAAACCTTTCGCTTATACTGCGTCGTTTTAACTGATCGTGAATTTGTGAAAAGGAATGAGAAGGGATTGCTTTATGGATTGGATCTCGGCGGCACCAACTTTCGGGTTCTTAGGGTGCAATTGGGCGGCAAAGAAGAACGTGTTATCGCCACTGAATTTGAACAAGTTTCAATCCCTCAACACCTCATGTTTGCCACATCTCAGGTAGAACAATATTAGTGTGTTAAACTGGATTTAATGTTTCAAACATCCTTAATCTCATCGAAGCAATGAACTTCCTTGTTGTTCTGAAGGAGCTCTTCGATTTCATTGCCTCTGGTCTGGCAAAATTTGTAGAGGGAGAAGGCAACAGATTCCACCTCCCTCCTGGAAGAAAGAGGGAGATTGGATTCACATTCTCATTCCCTGTGAACCAAACTTCCATTGATTCTGGCATTTTAATCAAGTGGACTAAGGGTTTTGCTGTCTCTGGAACGGTATTATTTTCCCCATATTTTAGTTTGCCACTGTCGAAACGACATAGCCATTGATTGTTTCGAACTCGTAACAGGCTGGGAAAGATGTTGTTGCTTGTCTAAACGAAGCCATGGAACGACGAGGACTAGATATGCACGTTTCCGCCCTTGTATGTTCTTGCTCCTATAACCATCCTTAGAAAAGGTTTCTACTTTGATGCATCATTGATTGTTCATAATCGAAAACAGGTAAACGACACGGTTGGAACCTTAGCTGGAGCTAGATACTACGACGATGATGTCGTGGCTGCTGTGATTTTAGGGACCGGAACCAACGCTTGTTATATAGAACGAAAGGATGCTATTCCTAAGCTGCAAGGCCAGGCATCCTCTTCGGGGAAAACTGTATGTATCTCTAGTTTAGTAGATTATTTCATCGACCGCAACTTAATGTCGTTTTTTCATTGCCAAAAACTCGTTCGTTTTAGATTATCAACACGGAGTGGGGAGCATATTCAAATGGTCTTCCTCTCACTGTTTTTGATAGAGAGATGGATGCTGCCAGTATAAATCCAGGGGAGCAGGTGAGTTCTAGTTTATAAATGTTCATACAATGCAGCTTATCCATACAGCATAGAAATGTAATGTGTTTATGTATTTGCGTGTTGGGAAGATCTTTGAGAAGACAATAGCAGGAATGTATCTGGGCGAAATTGCTCGTAGAGTGCTTTTGGCAATGGCTGAATTCGCCCCTCTTTTCGGCAAATCAATTCCCGAAAAGCTGTTTAAGCCGTTCGTCCTCAGGTATCGCCTGCACCTCATCCTTCACTCATATGTCTTCATGACGAACAATGTGTAGCAATTGTATGCAGCACTCCAGATGTATGTGCTATGCATCAAGATGTTTCCAATGACCTTCAAGCCGTTGGATCGATATTGTATAACGTTTTCGGGGTAAATGTTTTAAGCTTTTCATGTCGAATCTTGGTTCTAATACGGAAATAACGTCCGAACACGCACCGATTTGCGGAAGGCGAGAAAGAACATGAGAGTTAATGAGCAGATATTGTTCAGTGTTCCTAATCTGATTGGTCCAATGCAAGCAGGTGGAGTCGGATTTAAGTGCAAGAAAAGCTGTGGTAGAGGTGTGCAACACGATTGGTAGGCGGGGCGGGCGATTGGCAGGGGCGGGAATAGTAGGAATCCTGCACAAGATTGAAGACTTTGAAGATGTAAAGCTTGGAAAGAGGAGAGTTGTGGCGATGGATGGAGGATTGTATGGGAATTATCCACAGTACAGAAGGTACCTTAAAGAAGGAGTAGCAGAGCTTCTGGGAACAGAGTTGGCTAAGAATGTGGCCATTGAACATACCAAGGATGGCTCTGGCATTGGGGCTGCTCTGTTGGCTGCTTCAAACTCTATTTATAGAACATGATTTCTAGACGGGAAAACGCTTCGTTTTTTTTTTTTTTTCATTTCTAATTATGATAATAATTGTAGCTTCTGTATTTATTTTTGATTGGTTTGAAGCTATGCGATGACATTTTACAATTTATTTGAATTTTTTTTTTGTTGTGAGATCCCTCTCTGAATGAAGAGAGGAACGGTTGAAAGAGGAAAGAAACATTTCTTTTATAAACTTTGGAAACTTCTTCTCTAGTAAACACGTTTTAATTGACCGATCAAAGAGCAGCTCAACCACATGCTTGAAAATGCTTCCCCATTCCACGACTTCACTGAACCGCGATTGTAAGATGCGACTTTGATGAAGTCCGACCAAAAAAATGGGCCAATGGGTCAATGAGCTCGATTTAGGATTGGGCCTCGTATTACAGCACACATTAATGGGCCTGTAAAAAAATTCTGACCCAATAAGGCAAGGGTAATCAACGCAACTTTTTGCACAGAATTCGGCCTCCGACAATCAACGCAACTCAGTGCACCAAAATTCGTCCTCCGATAATCAACGCAACTTTGTGCACCAAAATTCGCCCTCCGACAATCAATTGGAGTTGGATTCGTCGATCTTCCTTCGTCATTTTCAAGAATGGTCTGTCGGCTTTCTCATTTTGGTGATCTTAAAGGTAGTCTCAGATTGTAAGGTTTTGACATTATCATTTGATCTTTTGCAGATCCGATTCATACTTCTGCAAAATAGGCAGGGCAAGACCCGTCTGGCTAAGTATTACGTTCCTCTTGAGGAATCCGAAAAGCACAAGGTCGAGTACGAGGTATTTTTCCAATTCCCTCGTGAATTTTGTTTCTTAATTCTCAGATTCCAATTCTTTCTTTCCAGGCTAAGTTCTAGGTCTTTTCTTTTGATTCAATTGCAGGTTCATCGATTGGTGGTTAATAGAGATCCCAAGTTCACAAATTTCGTTGAGGTGAGAACTTTTTGTTGTGATTTCGTGGGTTTATGTGATGAAATTTTGATCTTAGGCTGTTGCGTCCCAGTATTTGTCGAAATTCGAAGCTCCATTCTATTCAATTGATTTCTGTTGAAGTGGAATGACGTTAATCGCTTAACCAAGTTCTCTGTTGCTTGAGTTCTTCCATTTTATGTCATCGTTTATTTAATTTCTGGATGTTTTCTATGGAAGTTTCTTTCAAAGAGGGTGATGATGACTAGCTAAGGAAATGGTTATTGTTTTCTGGTTTATGTAGGCATAGTTGTAGATTAACTTGTGTTGTGATAGAGAGTTCATTCTTCACGATTCTTAGCCGGGATTTGTTTCGTTTCAGTTGACATTTTTCAATTTCCTTTTGAGCATGAATCTTATCATTCATTTGTTTACTTTTACTTGTGGGCTGCGTAATGCTTTCATCTCGTTTTTATGTATGCTCTAGCTTATTGCAATCTCCACCGCTTTTGCAGTTCCGAACACACAAGGTCATCTACAGACGATATGCAGGATTGTTTTTCTCCCTTTGTGTGGACATAACAGACAACGAGTTGGCCTATCTTGAGTGTATTCATTTGTTTGTGGAGATTCTGGATCATTTCTTCAGCAATGTGTGTGAGCTCGATTTGGTTTTTAATTTTCACAAGGTTTGTTCTTCATTTTCTTACTCTTGCTTCCACCATATTGTTTACCAATGTAGGTTCTGTATATCTGTTTTGAAACACTGGTCTTGCAACTCTCCTTTCACTTGTATGGATATCATGTGATGTTTGTTTATCTATTCTATTTATCAAGTAATTAGCTATACCGGTTGTCGTCAATTTCTTAATTGAAGAACAATTTATCTTTCCCACTACCTGATGCATTTGCTGCATTCTCTGTTTGTGAGGCTCCAATTCAAATTCTTTGTGAACAAATGTTCCATCTTACTCTATTCAGTTTCTTATTTTCAACAATGGCAATCAAATTCCTTGCATATTTTCTCGTTTCCTTTAGTTGATGACGATTCTTGCATATATATTTGCCTCCCTTCTAGTTGTTAGTTGTAAGTTTGAAGATTCGTTATTTCAGATTTGTTAATGTTGTAATTGTTGTGTTGAATCTGCTACCAAATTGATCCCCATTTTTATGCTGAATCTGATGAAGGTCTATCTGATACTTGATGAATTTATTCTTGCTGGAGAACTCCAAGAAACCAGCAAAAAGGTAAAGTATTGTCTGCTTATTCTTAGTAATTGTGATTTTCCCTTTACCTGACTGTCAAAACACCTGCCGATACAATCGTCATAGAGTTGTAGATGTTGTCCATGCCTTGCCATGAAGCCACATCATGAGCTGGAGTATCAGTTTTCAAAGAATTTTATGTTCTTAGTAACTTATTCATACGGATTTTATTTGCCTAAAATCTCACGTCTAAATTACTTTTTTCCTTCTTCAAAAAACTTTCAGGCGATTATTGAAAGAATGGGGGAACTGGAAAAGCTGGAGTGAAGATAGTACATGTCAAAGAGCTAAGATTGCAACTTGTTTTCCGTGACAGAGTTGATTGTGTTACGATTTCAGTTTTCTTTGTTTCCCCCACAGTATATTTTTCCATGTGGTCTTTGTTGTGACAGATAGAGTCCCTTGCATCACCTTTGCATAGTTTTTGAACATTTCAGAACATCAACCCTCTATAAATAGTGAAATCTACAGTATTCATTCTTGTTGATACACTTCTAGAATCGAAGTTATTATCTCAATTATTCTTTATTTTGGATATGTGTGATCTGAGATGTAACATCATCATTATAGAACATTGCCTAGGGACACTTGTGCCTGCCACCATGTGTAGTCATGTTAGCATAGCAGGGACAAACATCATAGTTGCCTGAAGTGCCTGGTGGAACGCATTGACAGCGAGCGCAGCAGGTTCCACATGCTCTCTTGCAGATCTTTTGCCTCGACGATAATTGGCATCTCGCATCACAAGCTTCCCCACAATCTGCAATAGATTCAGGTATTGGTCAGGAAGCAAGAAGCATTAACATAACAATGTGGGTGCAGGTGCTCAAATCTCTCTGTTACCTATCTCGCCAGGAAGAGGGCTATCAACCTGAGTTGTGCTAACCTGAAAGGACACAATACAGTGAGGTAATAAGGCCACAAAGTTGAGAGTATAAAAAATGAACAGAGAAATCAAATGGAAGAAGGATTACCATTTGGGCTGATTCCGTAAGGGGCACAAAAGCAAAAGCAATAAGAAGCATAGCAAACACAAGACCTTTAGTTGCTGCCATTAGAAATCTGGATGGGGTATTGGTTATGCGAGAGGTGTCTGTTTATAGGGGGTTGTTGAAAGGGAATAAAGTGAAGAAATCTAAGAAGTTAGGTAAATATTTTTTGGTTGAGATGGGAATCTAGAATGTGGTAGGTGGTGTCTTGGGTATAATTGGTATGAAATTTGCTTTGAGTAGTAGGGCATGAACACGGGTGCAGGTATTACATTGCATATTTTCTCATAATGTTCGGGAAACTGTTTGAAGTTGAAATATTGTGTCGTAAGAGAAAGGATCAAGTTGGTTACTCGAGTTTGAGCTTTGAAGTCAAGAAATGGTACATTCAAGAGTCTGTCGGGTATTACATTGCATCTTTTCTCATAATGTTCGAGAAACCGTTTGAAGTTGAAATATTGTGTCGTAAGAGAAAGGATCAAGCTGGTTACTTTTGAGGTTTGAAGTCAAGAAATGGTACATTGAATAATATAGTGTACATGAGTCCAGCAGCAGAATTTATTATTTTGTTTTGTTGCGGCCATTACGATCAAAATTTAGAATTTTAAAAAAGTATATACAAAACATAAAAATCAAATTTGAAAAATTATTTTTGGTGTAGGCCACTCATTCCCCCCACAATCTTTCAAATGTTTTTTTTTTTTTTCCCCTTAAAAATTGGAACTAAATATTGGAAAGGAACTTCGAGTGAATCCCGACCGTGGATCTGCGTAAGACAAAATCTGAACGGCTAGGGTTTGGGCTTGGGCTTGAATTGGGCCGGTTCAGGCCTCTGAAAGTGAAACCCTAGAAGCTCCTTTCACTGATATATAAGGATGTGGTGTAGGGGTTTGGAAAGCACAGTCGGACGACAAAATTTCTTCATCTCTCTGTAATTTTTCAGTGTGTGTTTTTGGCATTATTAAAATGCAAGTGGGCAAAAAAGCGGCGAACAGATGATGAGCCTATAACCATTGAAGGGGAGCTTGCAATTAATTTCTTATTTTAGTTCTGCAAGCAATGATCATTCTCATACTTCCATGACTCTGATGTTCAAAGCTTTTGCCTTTTCCTTCTTTTCTTTCTTTTCTTTCTTTTCTTTCTTTCTCATCTTCACCATCACTATCGTTGATTGCCATGCATTTTTTTTCGTTTTTTCGTTGATCAAAATTCATTTTTTTTTTCGGTTAAATAGAATCTCGAAGAAATTTTCAGGTAGATGATGAATAGCGATACCATCTTGTAAAGCAGAGTAGATAAGTTGCCAAATTCAAGTTGCCAAATTGCCATTGCTCTGCCTTAAAATGATTGATGATTGAGGCTGCTGCTGCTACACCTCCAAGATCCTAATTGCTTGATTGAGGTTCGACTTTAAAATGAAATACATGAGTCTATACAAGTTTATTTTTTTTATTTTTATTTTTAATTTTGCATATAAATTTTATACTAAATATATTAGAAATACGCATTTTTTCATAAAGTTGGCGTAAAGATTAAAATAATAATTTTTTAAAGTTAAAAGTCATTCTTGAACGTAAAAAAGTGGTACAAGAATAAGATGCTGAGAGAAAAGTGGTAAAGAATTAGATTCCTGAAAACAAAAGGTCATGCCAAGTACACATGCTCTCGGAAAATTGTATACCGTACACTTCCCGGTGTTGCATGCAAGTACAGACTGGAAAATTTTGAAATGAATGTATCGGGTAATTTCATAAAAAAAAAAAAAGAGGGAATCTCCGGCAGCATTCAATGCGTTATAAAATGCCAAATCATGGTCTTTCATAAGAATGAATGCCCATACCCACTGAGGATCGTCTTTTGTTGCTGGATTCGAATCCTATAACAGATGCAAAGTCCTTAAATTTGATAACTCATATGAGTTCTTGATCATCTACCTTTCAGTCATCCTTGTAGAGGAAGCACTAACCAGGCATTCCCAAGGAGATGGCAAAGTCAAAGTCAATCTAAAAACAAAAATTTAGAACTACTCTACTCTGCGAACTGTACATAAGTGGGCTGTTTTATGGGCGGAATATTGACGTTGACCACAGTTTGCATGACACAATCATTGAAGTTGAGCCTCATTGCAGTACCTCTTGAAGCTCAAAGCCTCGTCAGCCAGAAACTCGCTGTCACCATCCAATCGAATCGGTAAATTCATGATTGATTAGTGAATGTATATTATTATGCAAGCGAAAAACAAAAAAGAGAGACAGAGAGACAACTTACAAAATCCGCTCAGCCATTTGCAATGGCTCCCACCTAGGACTCCAAGGATAGTCGGTAATAAGCTGCGACTTGATGGGCGCACCATGGGAGTTGAAATGCTAAACAATATATGGATATAATTAGAAAGAGGGGGCATCTCAACAATGCCATTCCTAGTCATAGCGAACAGAAAAATCCTTGGAAACTAGAGTTACACAAATTGCACCTATCATGTCATTTGATCACTTCAAGACGTGCAACCTTACAAAAATTGGTTTACCAAAGATTCATTATCAACATATTTATGAAAAATGTAAATGAGAACGAAATCTGCAGTAATTCTATCAAAACTACAAGAAGAGTTCCCACGACCACAGGAGACATGTTGATGGAAAACAAACGTCCAAGCATATATTTATGGCACTTATCTGTAAGGTATCTTCCTTACTATGCATTGATAATCAGAGAAAAGGATGCCACAAAGGGAAATACAACAGTAACCCAGCCTATCAGGGAGGGTCTAGTGATCTCTCCCCTTTATGATAAACAAAGCACACAAAGTACGTGATATCACAGTACTCGATCCCCTAACCTTTATACACACTTCACCTTCCTAAACGTAATCCCTTGTCCCCCACCTTACACGGAAATTCATAACTTGTCAATGGTGTAATGCCCCCTTCTTACCCCTCCTTGTATATTGAATAGCAATCGGGGATCTCATACAATCATGCTAACTAGTAAGCAAAGTTGATATGTACGAGAATTTTCAAGATTTAAGACAAAGTTACATTACCTGAGAACTTTGCAGCACCAGAGAAGGCTGTTTCTTCGGAAATTGGCTTGAAATGAGGAAGTGCGCCTAGCATTAACAAGAAATTCCCAAAAACAGAAGGGAAGGAAAATGAAGAAAAGAAAACTTTTCACACATAAAACCATAAATAAAGTTGGAAAAAAAATTAACAAAAGATCAAGGATAATACATGCCACATTGACTCAAATCTAGAATCAGCCATATTGTTGATCAATGATCATGAACTGCATCCTATACCCTATCTGACCAGACCAATGCACACTATCTTGGTTTAATATAAAACCAAAAGGATTTTTACAGATCAAATTACATTCATCACTGATTGAGTATGGTTTGTGTGTGCGTGTGTGTAACAAACCATTAACAATTTGAAAGAAAGATTTGTGTGAAGTCATGTCCTGGAAATGTCTCAAGAAACTTGACAGGATGGAGAAACCATTTGAAAGGATAAATAGTTGTAAAATGTCTTGGGTATCATCCAAAATTTTGCAGCCAGCAGGGACAATAACTGACAAACGCCTCGGCAACATAATCAAACTTGACATTATGAATTTGTCCGAGGTTCATGTTATGGTTCTGTGTCAAGGTGGTGTATTTTATGCAGACGTCACTTTTCTGTGATGATTTGGAGAGATTTCTCAGTGGTAAGTGTTAGTAAGCCAACTACAGGTTTATCCAAAAGAAAGAAAAAGGTAATCCAAGTACATGTTGGGATAAGTCAAAGCTTGTCAGCTTCTTGAACAATCGGTGTTCTGCATTATTAACCGGAATATTTGATTAGATAGAAATAGGTGAACCTTCAAGAATGTAGAAAGGTCTTGAGAGGAAGTTTAGAGTGAGTGTCGCTCTCTTCAAGGCTTCTCTTTGGATGTTCTCTACAAAATTTTATTTCTTTTCCTTTTTACCGTTTAGAAAATAATTCACTGTAATGTTTTTGATGTTGAGGGATCTTTAGTTTCAGGGTTCTCTCTAACAAAGAAAAACTGAGGGCTATCTTTGTCATCACTGGACTCTGGAATTTTGTACTAGATATTTGGGGGGTGATCGTCTCCAAAGTTAAAACTATTACATCTGAATCTCTACTGGCCAGGGAATAAATCCTAACAACGGAAGATTTTGAGGAGACGGAGAAGCAGTTATTCTGGTCGAGAGTTAAAGAAAGCTATCAAAACCAATCACCAGAGTCAACTAAAAGTTACGTGAACAATATCTTTTTCACAGTAAATAATTGGAAAAATTCCATATAACAACATTCTTGATAGTGATGGGATGCTACATATCAAGTATAGTAAAGGTCACTTAATACCAGGAATGTGAACACCCCAGAGGCAGTGATAACTGTAGCCGTTCGACAGAACACCTAAAAAACAAAGAAGTTCATGCCATTACTGAGATGGGATGATCCGGGGCATGCGCGCACATGCACATAAATTAATAGTTCGATAATGACTTTAAAAAGGAGAAGAAGATAGATGGAAATAAATTTTTAGGACTTTAAAAAGGAGAAGACGATGGATGAAAATAAATTTTTAGGAATCTCACCGGGTCAGCTTCTAAAGGCCTTCCAAAGAAGGAGTCCAACGCCTCTATAAAGCCTCTCCTAACATCAATCAATGAAACTGCCTCCAGAACCTTCATCAGAATGATAGAAGTATAAATACTCTATTTTAGGCGATTTCCAGAATCAAGGCCCAGTTAAACAACCCAGAGGGAGCCATCTGACCAACAAAAATGTAACCAACCTGTTTCTCAAGACTCTCTTCTAGGTGAGGAAGATATTCAGCCATGCACCTTGCAGTCAGTTAAAAAGAGAAAAGTGAAATCACTTTCAGCACCCAATCCTGACCGCGAAAGGAGATATAAGAGAGAGAGAGCATCCTACATTCCATCTATCCATGAAGGAAGTTTGATATCCTCAATGGATAACAGGGCCTTCAACTCAGATGTAGAAACCAATTTCAGACGAGGTGCAACAGGAGTAGATGCATATTTTCTCACCACAGGATATAAAACCTACAAACAAATTATGAGAATGGGAAAAATAGAGGAACGGAAAGACCAGAAGTTCAAAGAGAGAGAAAAGTAATAGGAAACCTGCAAAAATATCTTCTGTGGATGCCTCCACGGGCATCCAGGAATCATCTTGTTAATATCAATGTCTACCAGCGGCACAGCAAATTTGACCTCCTCTGGCTATGCTAAAGTTCAAAGGCATATAAGGGACATGTATAAGAATGAAGAGAGAGAAAATAGAGTCCTTAGTATTCATCTATTTACTGATATTCAAGGGAAGTGTAACCATATACTTCAAACTATTACCTTCTCAAAACCTGAACTCAAATGCATTTCAATTCCCTGCACATAGGTATGGTTTATTATTTTTGGATTTAGTTAACCAGTGTAAATGAAAGATTCTTAAGGAGAAACCACAGACATCAAGGTCCAGCCGCTTGCCTAGCAATAGGAATACATAGTTATAAGCAAAAAACACATACTGAGGATGGTTAAACTTCTACCCTAAGATTTTTTCAAGCGTGAAAAATCTGGAATAATTATCTGGCCGTGGCAGCAATTGTCTCATTCGGATTCCAAAGATGAAAACAAAAGGTTTTATACACCTCTACCGGCATCCAGTAAGATAATATTATCAAGACACCGAGCCCAGTACCTCACCCCTCAAATTCATAGGTTAATTCAAGTGATCACCAAGTTAGAGTTAACAGTCTATCAAACCTTATAATGAAGAACATTACCTCCCTAGATAACATAGTACAAAGTTCAAACTTCAATCTTTCATCATCAACTCCTTCAACACGTTTCCTTTGGTACGACACATATCGATCCCTTGAAAAAAGTAAAGTTGCCATTAAATTCAAGGTGAGTTATACCCAAGGCATTAAAAAAGAAGGATCAATCACAGGAAAGTCCTGAAAAACCTTAGTTCTTGAAGGAGGCTAGTGAGCCGTGATGGATCTTTGCTGTTCCAGTCACGTAGACAGTTCTGTAATGAATTATGATCTCGTTCTCCTTCATCAACCTTACTTGAGAATGGATGGAAATTTTCATCTTCTGCTCCAAACATAATATCAGGAGCAGAAAATGGTGTTTCAGCATTGTACATGATGTCCCCTACGACATGTAAGAGCTATCAAACAGCTAGGTACGGTGACTCTACAAAGCATTCAATACAGGGAAAGGGAAAAGAATTGAAAGGATATATGAAACTACAATGGAAAACAAGTCTTACATCTGACGAATTCAAGGCAGTAAGGTACGATCAGCGTGAACCTATCAATAATTCCAGGGCAGTGTCTACTGCCAGACCACATGTTCTCAATCTGAATATATAAAGAGTAGGAATAAGTGATTCGTTCTCGTTTCATATTGCGATAAGATAATGACATCATATTCTATGTTCGTGGTGGAAAAGGGGAGGATGGAAAGAAAGAACACCCAATATCATTCATTTCCGATCAATTCAGTGAACTAATCTAATTCCAAACCAGTACAAACATTACCATCAATTTTGTTACCACTGAATTTTCCAGGGAGAGATAGGAATCCGAAATGTTACCTTGACGGGGAGAGGAAAGTGGCTGAGCAGGTAATTGACATGAGCAGCAATGAGAGGTGGTACAGCGTCGGAGGACATGGCTGTAGCAGCTAAACGACGGAGCTACTTGGTTTATCTCCGGCGAGCGATCTAGAGAGCCACCGTCAAATCCAACTGAAACACCAATAAACAGCTGATTCAACTTAAGAAATTCACACCACTACCCTCTTGCTGCAAGAGGCCTCCATTTACTGATCAAAGAGCAGCTCAACATGCTTGAAAATGCTTCCCCATTCCACGACTTCACTGAACCGCGATTCTAAGATGCGACTTTGATAAAGTCCGACCAAAAAAATGGGCCAATGGGTCAATGGGTGTGCTAAAATGGGTCAATGGGTGTGCTAAAATGGGCCCATGGGTTAATGGGCCTGTAAAAAATTCTGACCCAATAAGGCAAGGGTAATCAACGCTACTTTGTGCACAGAGCCGCCGATAATCAACGCAACTTTGTGCACCAGAATTCGGCCTCCGATAATCAATTGGAGTTGGATTCGTCGATCTTCCTTCGTCATTTTCAAGAATGGTCTGTCGGCTTTTTTGGTGATCTTATCAAAGGTAGTCTCAGATTGTAAGGTTTTGACATTCTCATTTGATTTTTTGCAGATCCGATTCATACTTTTGCAAAATAGGCAGGGCCAGACCCGTTTGGCTAAGTATTACGTTCCTCTTGAGGAATCCGAAAAGCACAAGGTCGAGTACGAGGTATTTTTCCAATTACCTCATGAATTTTGTTTCTTAATTCTCCGATTCCAGTTTTTTCTTTCCAGGCTAAGTTCTGCTAAGTTCTAGGTTGTAACGACTCAGATTGACGGACCGCTAGCAGATATTGTCCTCTTTGGGCTTTCCATTTCGGACTCCTCAAGGTGTCTGCTAGGAGAAGGTTTCCACGTCCTTATAAATGGTGTTTTCTCCTCCCTAACCAATGTGGGACATCACAATCCACCTTTTCGAGACCAGCGTCCTTGTAGGGCAAGACCTGTCTGACTAAGTATTACATTACTCTTGAGGAATCCAAAAAGCACAAGGTCGAGTACGAGGTATTTTTCCAATTCCCTCATGAATTTTGTTTCTTAATTCTCCGATTCCAGTTTTTTCTCTCCAGACTAAGTTCTGTTAAGTTCTAGGATGTAACGACTCAGATCGACTGCCGGTCGATATTTTCCTTTTTGGCTTTTCCATTTCGGGTTTCCCCTCAAGGCTTTAAAACGCACTAGGGGAAGATTTCTTCCCCACCCTTACAAATGGCGTGTTAACCAATGTGAGACATCACAATCCACCCCCTTCGAGGCTAGCGCTCTCGCTGGCACTATTTCCTTCTTCCAATCGATGTGGGACCGTCCCCAAATCCACCCCTTTGGGGCCAGCCTAGAGTTCTTACTGGCACACCGCCTCGTGTCTATCCCCTTTGGGGAACAGCGATAAGGCAGGCCCATCTTTCGGTGACTGGCTCTGATACCATTTGTAACGATCTAATCCACCGCTAGCAGATATTGTCTTTTTTGGGCTTTCCCTTTCGGACTTCCCCTCATGACTTTAAAACGCGTCTGCTAGGTAAAGATTTTCACACCCTTATAGGGTGGTTTGTTCTCCTCTCCAACTAACGTGGGTTCTTTTCTCTTGATTCAATTGCAGATTCATCGGGTTAATAGAGATCCCAAGTTCACAAATTTCGTGTTGAGGTGAGAACTTTTTGTTGTGATTTTGTGGGTTTATGTGATGAAATTTTGATCTTAGGCTGTTGCGTCCCAGTATTTGTCGAAATTCGATGCTCCATTCTATTCAATTGATTTCGTTGAAGTGGAATGACGTCAATCGCCATAGTACACAAGTAATGGTTCTGGAAGAATCCAGATTCCTTATAAAACGAATGAAATGGGGCATTGACAATTAGCTTGTGGAAGATTGGTAGTATTGCCAAACCGCTCCCTCTTCCTCTCCTACTTCTTTCTCGCGTCTGCAACTCAGACCTAAATTCCCTCTTCTCTGTATTGCTACCACCTCACAGGTTTGCTTCTTTAGATTCCCCTTTTTCCCCTCTCGATTTCGGGTTTCTTGCAATTTCTTCCTCCCCAGGTTTTTTCTTGTGCTGTTTATATTGCCTTCTTTGTTTATTCAATTTTGGCTCGATGGTAATTAGAAACGTGATTCTTATTTGATTACTCGTGGGATCGCATTGTCATTGTGGAGGCTCCGGTCTGAACTTTTGTTGTTTTTCGTTTTCTAAATCGAGATTTGATTATGCTTATTTGTTTTGGACAGTTTTTAGTGTTGGGATTGTGCATAATATTATTAGTTTCGATGCGAATGTTTTGTTTGTTGATTCGGTCTGGAGGTTTTCATTGGTACCTCGATTCTAAGTGGTGTGTTCTTTGTAGAGAGGTTTTGGAGGTTCGGAACCTCATTCTTTGCCTTATTTGTTTCCCATGTAGATTTAGTTTGAGATCTTGTAGTCAATTGGGATTTGGAATTGTCTGAGATCTCTTAGTCAGGAGTCCACGACCGATGCCCTGTGCTTGAAGAGGTTTTGTTGCATCCACCCTTTCGTGGGAGATGCAGATCGCCTTCACAGGCCGTTCTCTTGATTGTGTTGTGAAACTTTTTTTTATTGGAGAGGATCGTAAGGGTTTTTCAACACAAACTTTAAAGACATTTCAGCACTGAATTTATGATATCCCTTCAAGCAACATTGACTCCCTCCAATCTACCTCTAAAGTATATCCAACAAACCAAAAGCCTGAAGTAGATTTAGTAGGATGCCTAGCAATAAAAGTAAGAAGACACATAAAAGAACATGAAAAGGAGATAATCTAAAATATCAACGCAGTGCATGATTGCTTGTGTTATCTTTCTTGTTGAATAGGAAGGAACTACGAGCTTAGACTAGGGTGCTTGAGACTATGTAGGCTAGACAGAACCCTAGAATGAGGATTTTAGAGTGTTATCTTTCTTGTTGAATAGGAAGGAACTACGAGCTTAGACTAGGGTGCTTGAGATTATGTAGGCTAGACAAAACCCTAGAATGGGGATACCTCTAAAATACTGTGCATTTATGCCCGCGAAGCGATTATTAGCAGATCCAGACCCCACTATTCCAACTATTCCAGACCACGATAGGATTGTGAGACCTTGAAGTTTTTTTTCTCTCTCTCTCTCTCTCGAAGCTTATACAGATTCCTGTTATGGGAGCTTTTTGTTTTGGGTGAGTCTTTTTCTTTAAGTAATTGAAAGTTATGATGTCTTTTGCACCTTCAAGTATTTATTTTTTTCAAAGTCAAAGATAAACAAAATCAACAATTATGCAGAATCGTTTGCTCATCTGCATCCACATTCATCTCAACACAAACTTTAAAGACATTTCAGCACTTTGTGCACCGAATTCGGCCTCCGATAACCAATTGGATTTGGATTCGTCGATCCCTTCGTCATTTTCAAGAATGGTCTGGCGGCTTTCTCATTTTGGTGATCTTAAAGGTAGTCTCAGAATGAAGGTTTTGACATTATCATTTGATTTTTTGCAGATCCGGTTTATACTTTTGCAAAATAGGCAGGGCAAGACCCCTCTGGCGAAGTATTACCTTCCTCTTGAGGAATCAGAAAAGCATAAGGTCGAGTGCGAGGTATTTTTCCAATTCCCTCATGAATTTTGTTTTTAATTCTCTGATTTCAATTTTTCCTTTCCAGGCTAAGTTCTAGGTCTTTTCTTTTAATTCAATTGCAGGTTCATCGATTAGTGGTGAATAGTGATCCCAATTTTAAAAATTTTGTTGAGGTGAGAACTTTTTGTTGTCCCAGTTTTTGGCCGGGATTTGTTTAGTTTCAGTTGACATTTTTCAATATTTTCAAAGTTATTTGTGTACTTTTACTTTTGTGGGCTGGGTAATGCTTTCATCTCGTTTTTTTTGTAAGCTCTAACTTATTGCAATCTCCACCACTTTTGCAGTTCCGAACACAAGGTCATCTACAGACAATATGCAGGATTATTTTTCTCCCTCTGTGTAGACAGAACAGACAACTACCTTGAGAGTGTTCGTCTGTTTGTGGAGATTCTTGATCATTTCTTCAGCCATGTGTGTGAGCTCGTTTTGGTTTTTAATTCTAGCAAGGTTTGTTCTTCATTTTCTTACTCTTGCTTCCACAAATTCCTTGCATATTGTTGTGTTGAATCTGATCCTCATTTTTATGCTGAATCTGATGAAGGTCTATCTGATACTTGATGAATTTATTCTTGCTGGAAAACTCCAAGAAACGAGCAAAAAGGTAAAGTATTGTCTGCTTATTCTTAGTAATTGTTTGCTGTGGCAAAATCTCCGATGGTCTGACAGAAAGGTTATAGGCACCACAAAATCAGCTCGAACCAAGCGCCGCAGATATTCGTTTGTATGAAGATCATGTTTATCAGGTGCATTTTTTTTATAGACGCAACAAATTTTTCTTCATATCTCTCAGGTTTCTGATAAGTTTTGGAAATTGGTTCTGTAGGTAAAGGTTCAGTCGCTGATAGATATGGAGATGTCACTTCGAACCTCGAAAACAAAACTGCTAGCTGGAATAGATCTGATCCGCCGACTGAAGGTATCTGCACTGGAGATCGAGAATGAGAATAAATTGAAGAGCAAGCGGTCAAGTGCCAAATGGTAGAGAATCTACCGGGCATATTGGAGAAATTAAGAAGCCCCAACAATGACAGCAATTAGAAGTGGAAGGATGGTGTCATTGCTTTAAGATGTGAAGTGGGGAAGATCAGAACTGACTCATTCAAACTGAAAGAGGAAGTTTCCAGGCTCTCACTATCAATACATTCAACTTCTCAGCAGGGAAACAAAAAAATAGGCGGCGGCAGACGGGGAAACAAAAAAGAGGAAGTTCCCGGGCTCTCACTATCAATACATTCAACTTCTCAACCGGGAAACAAAAAAATAGGGGGCGGCAGACAGGGAAACAAAAAAAGAATAGCCTCTATTTCAAATCTAGTTTCAGATTAGTTTCAGATCTAGGGACTCCGATGTTTAACTCTAATTTCAGGGTCCCTAAACTGAAGGACAAAACAAATTTGTGTCAGGGTTTGAGCTCCATTTGTGTAAAGACAAATTTTGTGAATAGTCAAGATTCATCTCCAATATAGTACAAAATACAATATTTCTTCATTTCTCCCTCTAAACCACCTCTACCACCTCTAAGTGATATGCGTGATACATCGTTCATATTGTAGAACTCATTTAGTTCATTCTATTAGTTCGGTTCCTCTGAAATAAGTATCTTAGAAATTTGGTAATCTAATAGAAATTTGATAATCTCACCAAATCTCTAATTGAATTTTTCTTCTTTATATTTTAAATCAATAATAATAAGAGAACGTACAAAATCTCAACGGTTAGGGTTTGGGCTCCATTTGTGTGAGACAAAGAGTTGGGCCGGTTCGGGTTTCTGAAAGTTGTTAGGGTTTGGGCTTGGGCTTGAGTTGGGCCGGACCAGGTTTCTGAAAGTGAAAACCCTAGATGTGCCTCACAATGATTGATGATTGAGGCCGCTGTGCGTAGACTTTCCTGGACTCTGATATATTATAAACCCTAATATATAAATTTTATACTAAACATATTAAAAATACAATTGTACTGCATTTCTCATTTTATTTTTGCTCTCTTTCTGCCAACTACTTTTTCTCCGTTCCATTTTAATCCCAAACTTTGAAGTAATTATTTGTCTTGAAACTTTTTTAAAATAACCATTTTTATCAGTGCATTATTTCATTCAATATTTTCAAAGTTGTTTATTTCATTTGTAATCATGTTTATATATATATATTAACAAAATAAATCATTATTTTTTAAAGTTAAAATACTAAAATTAAAATACTAAAAAAGCTACATAAATAAATAAATAATAATAATAAAAACAACACATAAATTTTGATTTATTCTCATCAAAGAACATATATATCACCAGATGAATATCAAAGGAATTGGACGTTTACACAAAAGTAACCTAAGAGTTGAAGTTATCTTATACGTTGGTTGTACAGGAGAGATTTGATCATTTTCCTGTTGGTCCGTCGTCATTCCGTCAGACCCCAAACCTGAATTCATGATGAAATAAAGAGTAAGATTACCGACTAAACGAAATTACATTAACGATGAACTAAAGACGAGAAGTTAATAAACCTGTATCTTTCCGCCAGAGGTGCCAACAAAGAGCAATCCTCCATCATCATCTGTAGTTAGGTACGTAATCTTTGCGTGGCTACCACTAGCACTACCTAATTTAAGTGAACCAATTTTTGTATACTTTTCTTTCGACAAGACCTCTATAATCATGCCCAATCTCGAGGCTGTAAACAACAAGTCGGTGCTTACAGCCATGTGATGGATGTCAACTCCAGGCGAAAAGGATCCCACCGTTATCTTGTTCGACAGCGAAAATGTCTTTCACATTCCAAACAAAAACGCAAAAGAAACATTATCACTTCATAATAACCATCACAAGTATTTGATTCAAGGGTTTATTTAATTTGGTTGATTTTGAGTACCTTGCCTGCAGTTCCATCCACTGCTGAACCGGCAGCAAACAGCAGGTCCCCGTGTAAGTGTAAGGAGTAGATGTTTTGTTTCCATAACAACTTTCTTACACCAGCATAGAATGTGCTTGTAGTATGTTTGGTCAAATCCACCTCCTGCCAATTATCAATACAACAATTTTGGTAAACCATATCACTAAAAATTGTCATCTTCCCAACTCCCCAGATTGATTAGATGTTGGGCTTGGTCATTACTGTTTTTTCTCATTAATTGAAATTTAGAATTCCCTCTAATTCACTAAAAACGTTACTACTTGTGATAATGAAAGTAACGAAAGCAATAGATTTCTAAGATTAGGGGTACCAGTATACAGTCACCAGAGCAACCGCAATAAAGTTTATCTTCTGATAATGCCAGGGACTTGACGTATTTATTGAAATTTATATGCTTGGGAACTCCAGAGAAGTTGTACACCTGTAATATCCAACCCAACAAGTATATTATCTTATCAAGAGGATTGAATTCTATGGATATTGGTTCTTCCAGCTCTAGTAGCCTGAACCGAAGTTACCTTAACGCCAGTTCCTTGAGAAACAAAGCATGCAACATTGGCGTTGGCTTTCATGTCATAGATTGGCTCCTTCACTTCATGAACTTGAACGCACTGTATTTTTTCACACTTGACGGTCCATACCTGTAAGAGTGGTGTTTTCCGAGAATTAATGGTGGAAGTTTGATCGAAATAAGATTTGCTATCAGATGCCGTGAGAAAAAGGAAGGCCAATATGTCGTTCTCTTAGGGACTAAAATGCAGTAGAAAGAACCGCAGCCATAATCAGATTAGATTGAATCATGTCCTTTAGAATGTTGATTGATCCGATCACTATTGTTCAAAGAAACCACTACGTAATTTTTCTTTAGAAGAAAACTCGGCATAACATGAACAAACAAGTTTTACCCGGATTGTTTTGTCTAAGGAACCGCTGTATAATGCGTCGCCCGAAGAGGAAACACACAGGCATGTTACAGCTTTTGTGTGCTTGCGTGCTTCTTGGATCAACTTCAATACTTTATCTCCAGCATCCCAAACCTAAAAGCAGAATATCGTGCAGGTAGTAAGACAATATAGTGATTTTACCCACGATCTGAACTGACACTAAGGTGGCACATACGACCCGTCTTGTTCAGATTTTTACCTTGATGGTTCCGTCCGAGTGACTGCTTAAGACCCGCCCATTCAGATGAACCAGGGACAAAACCTCTCCATTTGAGCTGGAATCTAGTGCACCAACTTCCGTATAACTCCAGAGCTCTGTCTAATGGGCAGACGATTAGTAGTAAGCTATGGATCCACTTTTAGTGTGAACTAAGAACAAAACAATTTCCCCAAACCCGACTTACTGCATCAACGGATGGCACGTTCATCAAGGCTTTCATTATATCATTGACCACCAAAGAGCTTCTCCTGAGCTTTCTCAACGTTTTGTTGATGGATGTTGCATGAAGTCCCAGTTCCTCAAGTGCAGCTTCGTAATCAGTAACCAAGTTAGTTCGGTTTCAAAGAAATATACATACTAACTGTCAGAGTTGCAAATAAAACCCACCTGGGTCACTAATGAAAGTTTTCAAAACAAGGCATGCTAAAATCTTCTCCTCCAGGCTGTTAGAAGATTGGAGAACGTTTACAAGTTCATCAAGCAAGGACCTGCGAGCAGTCTCTTGTACTCCAGTATCTGGGAGCGTCGAAACCATGTGGCAGAGCCAGGAAACAATGACAAGACAGGACTTCGCCATCTCTAATGATTTACTCTTCAGGCATTCCTTCATAACTTCAAAAATGTACCCTTTTTCATGGTTACAAAGAACAAGTGCTATCCTCTTCTCCCATACGCTGACTGCCTTCTCTTCCTCCTATAGCATGTATATCTATGATTCAGAATCGGAGAGACGTACAGTGAAATAAGTTCCATAGAAATTATAAATTTTAAAAATAGAAACCTCTCTCTCTGATAATTCGTAGTCAGGCTTCCTCAGTCCCTCGGCCTTCATCAAAGCATTGTAAGGCTGATCAAATCCTGCAAGTTTGAGCAACCACGCTTTTGTGTAGGACTTCCCCGAGGAAGTGAATCGCCCAGATAGATATAATGAAGCATCTACAGCTGCAATTTGAGAATTATAGTTGTCCTTTCTTCGAAAGGCTTCAAACAGTGCCTCTATAGATTCTTCTCGGTAAATGCTCATTCTTCGTGGTTCAGTCTGACACAAGGAAGATTGTCTATTAGTTTCCATGTGAAAATGATTTTCGCATGCAAGCTGTTAAGGGATCTAGTCAAACCAGGAGATCCAGCTGGAGAAGAAGAGAAGCAATGCCCGGTTGTTGCTCAATTGGAGCCATTTGAAGATATGTAAGAAGTGTATGCATCGTACTGAATGCTCCTTCATCTTTAATTGTCTGCAAAATTTGATTGCATTTTGTCCGTCTGTAATTCCCCAACAATGATCAGAAATTGAAATTGAGTTATGATGCGGAATTAACCAGAGGCAGTTATTAGATAAACATGGGATTGCGATACATGACAAATACCATACAGGCCATACGAATAATTTGACTCAGGTTTTGGGAGTTGATAATGCTGCTATTTTAATGAAAGAAAACTGGTTGAAATGTAGTTTATGGTGAGTGATAGTATTTATATAACAAGCGTTTAATTTTGACCCAAGCCACAAAATGCAGGAGAAAAAAAAAACAATTTCAAGATCAGTTGATTTTCAGTAGTTGAAGGCTGCTTAGACCTTTGCCCACTTTGTTATGAAAAACAACAGCTTCATCTTTTATTGTTCATTCATGAAACAAGGAGCCCACCATATAGGCAACTTAACTAGAGAAGTAATATTTAAAACTGATTGCACAACAAGAGAAATTTGTTTTCAAGTGAATTAGTATTATACCTGTGCATCTGAACCAGCTCTGACAGAAAAGCCACACACAGGCCTCTATCGTCATCATTTCCAGTATGAAGGAACTCAAGAACTGGAGCAAGCTCAATCTCCTCTACTATTGAGTCCTTGCAACTTTGGTCGACCCGCATACAACATAAAAGTATGGAAAGTATTGGCCTCCTCACTTCTACCCTACCCAAAAACTTGACTAATGCAGGGATTCCTTCAGCAGAGGTAAACCTCTCAGCATTCCTGGACTGGCTAGTTTCATCCCCTCCCATAAAAATCTGTTCGAGCATTGCGATAGCAGCATTTTTTGGCTCTATTACAAACGGAAGATGATCAAATTCTTCATTTTTCTTCTGGATCATCTGGGCTAGGGAAGGTATGAGGTCATGAGCTGACAACTGAGTAAATGTAGGCCTTAGCAGGCACATAAGAACAGAAGCCTCTGACAACCCACTCGTCAGCAAAGAAGCTAGGCAATCAAAATCAGAATCTAGACTACTAAGGGACTCTCCAACATTTCCATCAGCACAAATAAGCTCCGAAAGAACGTAAATCGAGGTTCTGAGGACTTCTCTCTCACGGGAATTTAACAGTACTTCCACAAAGCCGTTCACAACAGCCAATTCGGATAAATAAGAATGGACCGCTAAATCACCTTTCGAGTCCTTCCAGAACCCTGCTATAGCGAGCACAGCTGTCTCACATTGTTTCAAGCTTTCGAAATTACAAAGACAAGAGACAAAAGGTTTTAAACTGTTAATGATTTTCTCAACTGTGGCCTGGGATATTACACTGGTCGGCGATGAAGATACTGCTTCTTGCATTAATCTTTTGCCTTTTTGGTTAAGAGACTCGTACGTACTGTTTAGAGGAATGTGAAATGGTCGGCAAGGAGTAGATGCCAGAGAATTCGCCATTTTGAAGGAAGAACTGACAGTACTTACTACTGATGTACCAGTCCAAGAACAATCCTGAGCAAGATCAGGATGCTGTTCCTGCCAAGACGTAATCAGTCTTTTCAAGACATAATTCATTTTAGGCATTACAGTTGAAGACAATGGCTGCCGTGTAATGGGGCAAGTTGTATTTCCTCTTTTCAACCATTCCTGAATCGCTTTTCTTTCATAAGTCTGTCCAGTTTCAAGAGTAACAGGCTCACTGAAAATCTGACCTGTTATGGGGCATACGAAATCTTTAGGGGGTCGTACTATATGTGTCACAATCTCAGACGAACGACTTCTGCTTTCCTCCTCAAGTTTATCGATTAAACTGTAGAAAATTTAAGAAGTTTCAAGGCATTTATATTGTGTGAAAATAACAGCTCCAATTAATGGAAAGTGAAATATTGTAATTACCAATTCTCGAAGTCTTGGTTACTCACGTCGTTATAGATTGCATTGTGCGTTTGTCTATATCTTCTCCTGTGGCGGTCTTTCTTCAAGTCCAAAATTGAAGAGCAATTGCAATTAAAAGACATATTTGCCAAGCGCAATTGTGCAAAGAGGGAACATGAAACAGAAAACAGAAATGCATCGAAAAGAAGGGTTAAGAACACAAGATTAGTACGAGAGAAACACTCACTTCACCCTCAGACTCTACTGGACTGAAGCTGTGATCGCTTCCTGTAGCTGGTGATCTGGGGACAGAGGTAGCAACACGTTGCCCGCCGAAGCGACTAGATAACAGTCGCAATGCAGAACGAGATTCATTTTTACACTTCTCATTCGCTGTTGGAGATAAGACTTTCGGTGAAGGGATTGAAGGAGATGAAATTGGAGAAAAAATGGTGGGAGAATGTTTGCAACTCCCCATTTTCGACGTCTCCCCTTTAGGTCCTATTTGCTCATCCTCTGACGTCCTTGTGCTACTAGGTGAGAGTAATTTATGTGTCACGGTATCGCTAAGTTCGTAAGAATCGAAAGGTTCATGATCAGAATCGTTCTCAATCTCCTCTAGTGAATCATTCTAGAAAGATAAATCAAAACAGAGCTTATGTTATTACTGAATTACGAGTATAACCGGCAGAGTTCCTTCTGGCGTATATATTTAGACCTTTCTAGCAATTGAAATGATGAGAAATGAAATTTGAACTCAAGACAAACCTGAGCATACCGCCCTGCAAATTTCTCTGAGCTGTTGGCTGGACTGGAAGTCCCCTTTGGCCTATTTGGAACACAAATATTTGGTTAGAAAAATAAAGTAACAAATTAGAGAGCCATCCTGAGAATTTTGGAATCAAACCTGCTTGCTTCTGTTGCACCATCTTTAGATCTTAGCAAGATGGACGAAAAGCCGGCACTCTTGGGTAAAATAGGTCCAAATTTAATGTAATCGGGAATTGAGCGGCTAACTTCATGAAGAGGAGTCATAGGTGGCTCCGCGATTGGCAACATCGGGGCAACCTTCTTGGTAGAGCTTGAATCAGAATTCATACAGTCCTTGAAGTATTTAGCAAAGAGCCTCGAATTCTCGTCCAAAGATTCTCCATAAAGCTTCTCCAACTTCTGTAATTTCTCCACTTGATCAGGCCTCAGCGAAAATATCAAAGATTCGTTGAAGAATTGATCTATATCAGCTGTGAAGGATAAATCAGAAGAATCAGGAATCACTTCGATCACAAGCCTGTGCCTCTCCTCTGAGTACCACCCAACGATTGAACTCATGTGTGGAAGAAAGAGTTCTTTCCAGAGCTCAGGAGCAAAATCAATGCGTGAAAAGAAGGGATCCACAATAAACATCTCAAGAATATGGAGGGCTGAGTTGTGAACATTTCCTCGCAATTTCCAGAGATAAGAAAGATTTAGGTGAGCCCAAGCAGAAAGGTAGAAATTGGGAACTCCAGCAGTTTTCTCGTTAGAGTTTAACAAGGCACACACTTGAAGCATCTTCTCCGCATGGTCAAGCCGTGCAAACTTAGTTTCTATATTGGATGTGTTGAGAGCCTCCTCAAGGGCTTCAATACCCCAATCCAAATTCGCCAGCACTGCTTGATCGGAGTACCTAACCTCTGTATCTTTGTCATGGCTTCCGTCTTCAGCTGCCAATCTCTCGGCACATTGCTCTTTGTGAAGGTTCCTGTGCTCTTTATTCATCAAGCGACCTCGAGTGAAATCATCAATGGTGGCAACCAATAATCTCACAATGTCCTTCTGGTCCATGGCAAACCTATATTCTCCAGCCATCCTTCGCCACAGTTCTCCCCTCCAGTTCGCTCTTTATTAATGTAAAAAGCTAAGACGTAAAATCATTGCCTCTAATTGCTTTTTCTTCAGTTGCTCAAAATCTATCCGGTGGATAAGCTTACAAACACATTTCAATTCTCAATCGCCATTTCTTTATCTACCAACAATCAAATCAGACGATCAACACCTTGTTACAGTCTACGACGGATATTAGGACAGAATTCTAGTAAACGATGACAGAACAGATGTATCACTGCTAAAGATTACACAAGGTGAAAATATCAACGAAAATTGGTTTCAGAAACAATCGTGCAGGTGAAGCAATGAACTGAGCTCCAATCAAAGTTGATCCTGGACTTTTCTTCAGCGAAGTAACTTCATTCTGTTGTAAGAATCACTAAGCAAACTACACACGAAGAACTAGAGAGGGAGAGTGATTGCGACGAATTAGGACATAGTTCGACTAAAACAATGACAGAGCAATATCATCGAACGGTTGCATAGAGGGAAAACATCAACAAAATTCAGTTTCAGAACAAGCATTCGGGAGAAGCAGTGAACTGACCTACGATGGAAATCGAAGTTGATCCAGGACTTGTCTTCATCGAAGCAACTTCATTGCCGTGAGCATCACTCGCCAAATGATTGATGGGCGGCAGCTGGATGGGGGAAGATTTAGCTGCCGGCCTCGGTTCTGAGAGAGAGAAGCAAACCGAAGACTTGCAATCATTTCTTAATTAATAACTATCGCTTTTAGCATGAGAATTAAAAATTAATAAGGAATTGGAACCGTCGTTTAGCGATTATGAAAAGGGAATGCATCATCGCCGTTTTGGTTCAAGAAGGATTGGAACTATCTAAGCCACATCCTATTTCCAACTTTCATTAACTGTCTTCAAATTTTCCAAATGACCAAAACGCCCAGCTTTTGGCGGGAAATTTACCGACCCTACAGTTGTGGACCCATAACTGATTTTGTTTCTGTTTTTAGTTTTAAATTTTTAAGGCAAAAAAAAAAATTGTTTTATCATAATTTTTTTTAAAAAAAATCAAAATTTGACGAGGTTTGGTAATAATACCAAAGCCAAGATAATGCTAATTGTTTGGTTCAAGTTGACTTTTTCAGTTCAATTGTTGACTTTATTATGATAAATTTTTATTTGAATTTCTATAGTATTGAATGCTTAGTATCCACTAATTATATTAATTATAATATAAATGATGATAAACAGGTCTTGCAGCTCAAATCTTCCTACCGATTGTAATTAAAAAAATAAGTAACGGTCTTTAAAAAATTAATAATAAATAAATGATAAATAAACGAAGAATAAATTGTAAATCAACTAGATTAAAATAATGAAATAAAACTTTAAACTAGAAAGAAGAACCTTGCATTTTGATGGGCCAATGGATTTGGGCCAATGAATCTGGGCCAATGAATCTGGGCCGAACCCGCCTTCATCCATTTATGGTGCCGGTAAAACCACCGCCGCGGACTGAAGCGCGTCAACCATGGGTCATATGGTTCGGGCTCTCCGGCACTGGCCGATGTTGCAGAATCACTGTTTCGGTTGCACCGTACATCATTTTCTCTCATCTCCGCCGTGGGTGGCCAAAAGAATCGACTCTCGTCGACTAACTTTAGCTACCGTTCATTCTGCTCGTCGCGAAGTCCAATATGGATCGAAAGGTCTCAGATTATCCAAAGCTCAAGCTCCGGCCGAATTCCAAGAAGATGAGAGCGTTGATGAGGACTTGGATGTTAGAAAGAGCCGGAACCAGCTTAAACGGGAAGCTCGACGAGCCGTCCAATGGGGCATGGATCTCGCGGCCTTCTCCACTCCTCAAATTAAACGCATCCTTAGGTAATCATATCCTCTCATAACATTATCCGGCGACTTCTTATTCTTGTATAATGTTTATCACTGATAATCTTCGGGAGATGGTAAAGGAGTTTGAGTTTCCAAGTTTAGTGAGACTAATGCGAGATTTCTTTTACTTGTCCGGGGTGATAGAGTGGCGTCCCTCGAGAAAGATGTCTTCGATGCAATAATGCTTGTGAAGGTGATTCTTATAGTGCTTGAATTTTGTGGTTAGTCGTATCCTTTGGCAGTATGGCAACGCATGAACTTTTTATGTAGCTAAGGTGTTTGATTTTTTGACGCAGAGGCTTGGGCGTGATGTCAGAGAAGGAAAACGAAGGCAGTTTAGTTACATTGGTAAGCTGATATTTGATATTTCATTCTTTTGTAAAATGTGCATTTCGGCCATTCGTGTTAGTAGTTAGAACTGATAAAAATCACGACTCTCCACAATTGTATAACATTATCCACTTTGAGCCTAAGCTCTCGTGGTTTTGCTTTTTGTTTCCCAAAATACCTCATATCAATAGAGATAGTGTTCCTTATTTATAAACTCATAATCTTCCTCCTCTTAATTAGTTAACGTGGGACTACTTCTTTCAATAATCCTCAACATTCCTCCCATCGAACAAAGTAGACCATAAAACCTCTTCTTAGGCTTATGGACCCCTTAAACAGTCTCCCCTTAATCGAGGCTCGACTCCTTTCTCTAGTGCCTTCGAACAAAATACACCCTTTGTTCGACACTTGAGTCACTTTTGACTACACCTTCGAGGCTCACAACTTCTTTGTTCGACATTTGAGGATTCTATTGACATGGCTAAGTTAAGGCATGGCTCTAATATCATGTTAGAAATCACGACTCCCCATAATAGTATGATATTGTTCACTTTGAGCATAAGCTCTTATGGCTTTGCTTTTTGTTTCCCAAAAGGTCTCATACCAATGGAGGGACACTTTGTTCCTTACCTATAAACCCATAATCTTTCTCTTAATTAGCCAATGTGGGACCACTTCTTTCGGTATTCTAATGTAAGAATATTAAACTTGGATCACCATGACGTGATGGTTTATCAAGAACAATTGAAGAAGAAATATAAACTTGCTGCCTATGCGATCCTTGACAAACGTATGAGACCGAGATCCTGTAAAATGTAAGGCACAAAATCGCATTTTAAGAGAACAGTCTTCTCAAATTTGAAATGGAGGGCCTTGAAATGACCATAACTCTGGTTAGGGTATTGGGGTCATTGTTCTAAGCAGCACGGACTTGGGACACAAACATGTCATGATGCAGATATGATGATATGTCAATTTCTACAGAAGTAGAACACAAACACGTTGGGGACATGTTTTTAGAATATATGTGTGTATAATTGATACATTAATACTTCTTTAGCTAAGGAAGTGTAAATTTATTTTTCCAAAGCATTCGTATTCTGTGGCTCTGATAAATTGGCTTAATTTGCTATAGGAAAACTGCTGAGGGATGTTCAACCTGAATTAATGGACAGTTTAATACAGGCCACAAAAGACGGTGACCATAGCATGCTGCAGACATTGTCTGGTTCGGTAGCAGTTGACGATGATGAAGATACAGACTCTGAATATGAGGAGGAGGAAGAAGAGGTATTTTATGTCCTGGTTCTTTTACACATTACCGCTTCTTTTACATACCAAATTGTTATAATTTTTGTTAAAGTTTATTTGTCTTGCTGACCTTTTCTAAGACTATACTACAGCATGGAACCGAATGAAATGTAAAAACTACACTTAGAAATTAGAGCCAGCGGAGTATGGCTACTGTTGCTTTATTAGGATTTAACTTTGATTAATATACAGGAACTTGTCAAAACTGTAAAAACCCATGTTTTTTTTTTTTTGTGATGAGTAAAAACCTATGTTTCTGGACTCAATTGAAGGGGCATTATGTTCATAAATGTCATTTTATACCATGTTCATTTTAATTTTAGAAGTTTTTCTTCCCCTTTCCCTCCATATCTTTCTTAATTAGGGTCCGCATGTGGACATTGTTACAAGATGGCTTGATGGGTTAGTCAGTAAGGACAAGAACGTTACAAATGAAATTTATTCGCTACAAACTGTTGAATTTGACCGTCAGGTACTTGACTTACTACATCCCTACTTTTTTCTCTTCTTTTCTTTTCATGTCAATGGTGTGCCACCCTTACCCATTTTTGTAACGTTCTAAGTTGTTTAAGATTTTGGGTGTGTGTGTGAGAGAGAGAGAGATAATAAACATTAAGAGAAAATGTCAAAAAGAGGTGAAAACCCCTATCCAAGGGAAATTAACAGGAAAAAAAAAAAAACACTTCCACTGGGCTATAATTGTAGAAAAGCTATAGCTCTGAAAATATGAAGAAAATGTACACTAAGTGAGCGCCAAAAAAAAGGATCGTGTTTAAGAAAAAACCATGGAAGGCAAATAAAAGTTATTTAAGATAGTTGCAAACAAAAGAGGGCCTCTGTATGCATCTAGCTGAAAAAGTTATAATCAGGCCTGCCTTGTCAACTATCAATTACCCAAGAACAATAGGACAAGATTTTCGGAACAATTACAACTTGAAGCTTTTATTAGCTAAGTTAGATAATCTATTCCCATGCGATTCTGACTAGCATGAAAATCATCAACAGGAGCTGCGGAGACTTGTCCGAAAAGTGCACATGGTTGAAGAACGCAAGGCGGCAACTGAAGAGAATGAGGATGAAGTCAATGTGGCAATAACAACCGCTAAGAAGCCCCTTGCTCGTTTTCTTTGTAGAATGGCGAAACAACTGCCCCCTTATGAACTCTAGTACAAATTTATTTGTGCACTACATTAACTTCGCATTCTTTCTTATGCACACATATTTGTTTTTTATAACCTTGCAGACTGTTAATTCTCACTTCCAACACATTTTTTCTTTTCCCTCTCACCTTCTTTCAACTCTGCTTGATCAAGTTGTTGAGTGCTAACTAGGCTCTTAGAGACTGTTTACCAGGCTATGTCTAATATGCATCTCAAGGTCTTTCTTGATCCTTTTCCTGTCCATGTCCAGCACTCTTCTCTGTAGGAATGCCTTTCAATAGTGGGGGAATTTATTAGGAAAGCAACAACAGCTAGCTTACATTTAGGGATGGTCATGATATTGTTGGTTCAAAATTGGGGTCTTGAGGCCTTTTCTGCATCAACTTCTGCCTTAAAAATTGTAATTTCTGGTCTATGATGGAAGATTAGTATTGAATGACGCCATTCCTCTTCAATGGCATTTACGCGCTGATTGAACAATGGTTGGAGGTGAGTGACGTAGGCTCCCACATGAATACCTCCAACCAAGACCTTCGGTTGATGTGGGTTTGAACACTGAGAAAGGAAGGGGCGTTGAGAATTGGAATGTTCCCCGGTAGTTGGTCGGTTTGAGACCATTGATTTGCTTAAGGAATCAAATTTGATTTTTGAAATGGGAAGTTGTATCCAACTTGAAATATTGTCAGCTTTGGTAAACAAACTGAAGAACCAAATGGAAAAAAGGCTCAGTTGGCAGCTACGTGGAACCATAGTCAGCGACCCCACGTTTCTTGCAATAAAAACGTGGCCCAATCAAACCAGTAACCAAAGATGACCTTTTCTCTGTGTTTTTTCAAAGCGTATGGTTCTTTTGAATTTACCGATTAATCTTAATTACCTATTTAAATATTAGATTTTTTTTTCTTCTTAATTTTAGCATGGTCTACAAAATATGGATTTGTGATATTTGATAATTACAAGTTGACTTTGATATAATTTTATTTGTCGTCTATCAAATTATTGGCTAAATCATGCCAACTTATCTGAATTTATTAAATCAAGTGTCATGTGTAGTAGTTCTATTAAATTATATGTATTAGTGAGAAATTTTAATATATATATATATTTAGTGGAAGAAATGTTGAGTATGAATTAGATAAATACACAAATTTTATATATTGATAGCATAATTTGAAATTCTTAAAACAAGAAATCATTTGGTTAGTTTTTTATTTAAATAAATAAATAAATAAAATATTGACCATGGGCCCAGGCCCACTAAGCACGAGGCTAGAATGGTCCGTTTACCTTCGGTTGGTGTCTATAAATACGCCATTCATCCATTCTTTGGAGAGCTCACTCTAAATCTCTGTTTCTCATCCCCGACGAAACGAAACAATTCTCTTCAACTTCTTTCTCGTCTTCTCGTCTCTTCATTTGACTTGCGTTCTAACCCTTTAATGGGAAAACAAATTTGGTTCATATTATATCTTCTAACCATCCAAATTTCAATATCAGGTAGCTTTACATTTTCAGTTTCTTTTTAAATCCATATTTAGTGTTCATGTTCTGAGTCTTATGTTTAACTATGAAATTGCAGGAGTATTATCCACCACTTTCAGCATAGTGAATAAATGTGAGTACACAGTTTGGCCGGGAATTCTCTCCAACGCCGGAGTTCCACCACTTCCCGCCACCGGCTTCGTCCTCGCTGCTGGCGACTCCAAAACAATCTCTGCTCCGGGGTCATGGGGGGGCCGATTCTGGGGCCGGACCCACTGTTCACAAGACTCCAATGGAAAATTCTCTTGCCTCACTGGTGACTGCGGCTCCGACAAGGTCGAGTGCGGCGGGAACGGCGCGAAGCCGCCAGCTACTCTGGCGGAGTTCACCCTCGATGGCGCTGGCGGCCTTGACTTCTTCGATGTGAGTTTGGTCGATGGTTACAATATTCCTATGCTGGTTGTCCCGCAGGGCGGCACCGGCGAGAAATGTGTAAGCACGGGGTGCGTTGTGGATTTGAACGGCGCGTGTCCTCAAGAGCTCAAGGTTTTCAGCGTGGACGGCGGAGAGAACGTCGCGTGTAAAAGCGCGTGTGAAGCTTTCAACGCACCGCAGTACTGTTGCAGTGGCGAGTACGCGACACCCGATACTTGCAAACCATCTGCGTACTCGCAGGTGTTCAAAAGCGCGTGTCCACGCGCTTACAGCTACGCTTACGACGACAAAACCAGCACGTTTACATGTGCCGACGCCGATTATATCATCACATTCTGCCCTTCACCCAACACGAGGTAAATTTACAAAATTCTCCCTTTTGACTTTACACCTCGCCTTCTTTTTCGTTCGAACGTTAGAGGGCATTTTCGTACATTAGAAGTTTTCATAATTTCCAGTCAGAGGGAATCACGTGCTTAATGCTTATGCCATATAGAATTTGGAAGGGTATTTTAGTAATTTAATCCTTCATCGACCGACTCTTTAGCCGACATGTTTCCAGGCGGGACGTGGGGGGGGCGACGACGCCGTCGAATCAACGATTGAGTTTTTGTTGATCGTGCCGCGGAATAATAGAGATTTTTCACGTGGAGTCCGTTGTTTTAGCTCAACGGCTTAAATAACGTAACACGGGGTGTTGTAATTTGGCACGACTTTCTAGCTGTGTACAATTACGCAACGGTCAAATAATCTGCGTAACGGTCCACTGAGAATCTGACACGTTTCACTATTGCTTTTTTTTTTTTATCTGAATGTATTAGTCACCGACAAATTTCATTTCTTTTGTGAGTGCAGTCAGAAATCAACGGAAGGTCACAATACAAGCACGCCGGCAATTAATGGCGGCAACGACACTATGGTTTACGAAGGGGCTGGATATGATCTAAGCAGCGCGTCGAGAACAACGCTCCGCGGTATACTGGGGGTAGCCATTGCCACGGTGTCCATTCTTCAATCTCGGCAGCTCTTTTGACCCGACCCGATTTCTTTCGTAGTTGGGTTGTAGTAGTAGAGGCCCATTGCCTTTTTAAAGAAGAGTTCGGCCCATTTTTGCCTGGAGAGCATCGTGTCACACGTGGAGCCCACAGCGTGTTTCATTCATTAGAAGATGCATGATGGGCCAAGTGGGGGTAGGCCGGGGGCCCAGGTGATGTAGACGCGTGTCACAATTGAAAAGCCAACCAATCCACCGTCTGATAGGCGTAAGCTGAAAGAGAAGACAAGGGATTTAAATATTTAAGAATTCTTTCCAAGGATTTTGCGATACGTCAATTCTTTATAATAAGATGGATGAATTCATTTGTTGGTATTGGGGGAAGAACTCAATATTGTTATGATTAAACTGTTTAATTAATATGTTTATGTCACATTCTAATATTGCTGGTAAAAACACATGAAAACGATATTGATGATTCCAAATGGGTCATATCACTAAGTTATTTTAACCTCGAGTTGATTATATTTATTATATGGTTAATTGTTAAATAACACAAAATCAAATATGTTGGAATAAAAATAAAATAACTCTACCTTTAGATAAAATGGTAAAGACTCTAACGCTAAAATTCTGTGATATGTATGGAATAGAATACACGACTACATGTACCAAAGCCGCCTTCTTTTCTTTTGTTCTTTTTTGCAGTGGCCTTCCTATGAAAAAACACCATAAAGATAATAATAATAAGGAACAAAAAGAAAAGGAAAATATATGAGAACCCCAAGAAAGGAAACAAAAAAAAACAAAAAACAAAAAAACCCTAGATTTCCCTCAACAATTAACTCGCGAATCAACAGCACAATTTACCCAGCTTTATTTAGTCATGAATGAAACCACCCCCCACCACCACCGCCGCCGGCATGGCGAAGGGGTTCAGCCTCCTCGGATGAATCAGTCTCTGGCAGTGATCATCAGTATACTTCTGTGAATTAACGAAAGGGTCCAACTCCAAACGTGAGAAAAAGTTGAGCGGAAGGATTACTGTTTCCATGGAGGCTGGTGGTGTTTATAGCTTAGCATATACCCTTCCCACCCACCATCAGGGCAATCTGGTTCTTTCCTTTTCGCACCAACTCCAGAACTTGAGGGTGGTTGTCTCAACTGCTCTTCCACAGTTCGGAGATGGCCTGGGAGTAGAAACTGCTTTAAACCCCCAGAATCACTTAATCCAGAATTCAAATCAAATTTAGGACGCGAATGAGCTAAACCGTTGGGAGTCAGCTGTGGATCCGTCATGCCCATGACAAACGGTGGGTGAGAGTAAGAGGAAGGCGGAACAGCTGACATAGGGCCCATAATTTGAGGCATAACAGCAGCTCCTCTTGAATCAACCATGTAAGGAATTGAACCGCTAGGTTCGTACATGGTTGAGAATGAAATGGTTGGCGGCCCTGGAGTCAATCCATTGTATCCAATAAAAGGAGTCTGGTGGTAAGAAGCCGCAGAGCTCATTCCTAGTATATCGCCTGTTCTTGTCAAAGTAGCACCCATTCCAGCAGGCTCAACACTTCTGCCGTTTGGCAACGGTGAAGCATGAAAAGGAAAATCTTTTCTATTAACTGCCACCCTTTTACCCATAATGGAAATAACAGAAGCATCCGAATTTGGGCGTCCATAAGCACTTGCATTTTGACAATACTTACCAGGGCATTGATCAGGAGCATCACCTTGAACACATGGCCTATCATTCAAATCAATATTCCTTACCAAAGGTTGCATCGATGACGAAGAACAGGCAGGAGAAGCACTGTAGCTATTCTGGATGTTAACGAGTCCCTCCATTCTCAAATCTGATGATGGAGCATCAACATCATCGCCTACGCAGTTAAGGTCCAGCTTTAGTCCCCCAGATCTTCGTTGTCCACTTTCAACTAAAAACTCTCCAGATTGAGGGAAAGATGATCCCAGGTTTTGTTTCCTCGTTTCTTCTCCAGTCTCAGCCACATTCAAATCAATGTCAAGAAAATCCTGTCTCTGCTTTGAACTATCAGAATTTCCCCCACTAGAAAGTGTTCTATCACTATCAGGAACTTTACGTGGGGAAGCAGGCCGGAAAGCACTAGTGGCTGCAGAGCCTCTCCATCCAAGCACCCCTTCAAACTGCAAAGGTGTTAGAGGCAATCCAGATGAAGCAGCTGGTCTAGAA